AAACTTTTAAAATCAGAAAAATTTTTGCATTTCTTGGTAAACAATACGCATATGAATGATACTTTTTAAAAGAAATTTTAACAGCAGTAACTTTACAGTTTAAAGTTGATAATGCTTATAACGTCATTACACACTGATGAAATGTACTCATGCAGATTTGGCCGCGACTATACTTAATTTTATTTATTTCACATTATAAACTAGTAGGTATGACGCCAGTATAAAATGTTTAAGTCAAAAAGTAGTCTTGTTTAACATACTGCAATTTTCTATTTCTATTCCTAAATCCAGCGGCCAGGGGCGTAAATAGGCTTTGGGGGCCCCGGGGCAAGGACGTGAATTGGGGCCCAGGGCTAAAGTTTAAAAAAACAATAAAAAAAAGTAGAAAAATATGTTTAAAACGGTTTAAATCACTATAAAAAAAAATTTTATACGTTTAAAACTGCTTTTAAAAACCAAAATAATGAGTAAAATTACTAAAACTATCATTTTAATTTAAATTGGTAAAAAACATGATAAAAACACAGTGTAAAACACTAGTTTTTTTAAAAATTGCAAAACCGTATAACAGCAAAATTACTTTTTTCTACCACCACTATGTAAAAGTCACATTTCATATTGGCATCGTTGCTTAGAAAATGAATATTTTCATTGACAAGGCAAAACACGAATGTAAAGTGACATTTCTGTGTGAAAAGTGAAAGGTCTGTGTGAAAATAAATTGAAAGCAACACGTTTTAGGTTATTTTGTTTTGTATTTGAATATAATAAAAAATAAAAGGGTCGGAGAAAAAACATTGTGTTTCACTTGTGAGAAAAGCTTTCTTCAAGCTCGTGTTAATGCACACTCGGCCTAACGGCCTCGTGGGCAACTTAAACACTCGCATGAAAAAAATATGAATGAGCTTGGAAATATCTATTTGTTTAGCTCGTTCATTTTCGATTGATAGCGGTGTCAAACAAACCCAGTTGATCCCGAATTATCGTTAATCTCAAATAATTTTTAATTATTTTTACTTTAGCAGATCCTTTTTTCTGCTATACCTGGAATATTCAGATACATTTAACAGGCTATACCAACATCAGAGTAAGCCTAATTCCTATAGAACACTTTTTTTTTATTTGAGAATAATAGAATATCCTAATATTGGTAATAATAATAATAGTAATAATAATGTTTATTTCAAAATATTTTAAATATTTTAAATATTTGTACACATAACATATAAAAATACAAAAGGAGGACACCAATATGCTAATACGCTAGAAACTCATTAAGATCATATGACTCCATTTCAACTAAATAACTAAAAACATTCAATTTAGAACTATTAAAATTTTGAACAGATTTAAGACGGACTGGTAACTTGTTAAAGCACATAATACATGAATAAAAACAACTTTTTTCGTAGATGGTTAATCTGTTACTGGGACATATGTATGTCACAATCCGTTCTATTTTTCCGACTAGATTTGCATTTCTCAAACAAGTGCTTGTTTTTTAACATAAAAATCAGTAGCTCATATATATATATATATATATATATATATATATATATATATATATATATACATATATATATATATTTATAACCCGGCAACTGTCAGAATCCTGCTAGACTTAAACAAACCTCTGCAGGACATATCACTTTTTTATTATTTATTTGAAATGAAATATTAAAAATTTAAAATGCTATAAAATCTGTATAATTTGGATTTTTTAAATGAAATTTGAAATTTGTCGATAAACTATGGTAAATAATAAATTGCACCAATTAAATTTATATTATATTTATTGGGGGCGCCAGGTGGCCGGTACGGCCAGGCAAAAAGTTATCTTTTTTTCGCAAACTTCAATTTAAATTCTGCTTGCGCAGAACTTGTTTATTTAATGTCATTATAAACTTATATAAATTTGGTGTGGGTCCCATATCTAATAATTGAGATATCGGTATACCCAAAATCCACCAGCCGCCCCTGTTTAATCAGTATTTTTAACATTGTTCATCTTAACTGGTTTTTTGGAAAATATTAATTGAAAAGAGGTAAAAATTTATTTAAAAACAAGCTCCACTGAGCATTTACATCTGACACAGAACAAGAATAAACATATAGCCAAGTAAGTTCACTTAACCTCCTTCTAAACAATTTTGTATTAATGTCATTAAAAATCTCTTGAAAACAGTTTTGGTAATATTTGCGTTGATTTTTAGGTTGTAAATTGTTATTTTTTGGGCTTTATGATCAGATAATTTGCTATCTCAGAATATTACCTATTTTATCGATATAGTATTTTTATATCGATAAAGTAGAACTTTTTATAAAAAGCGAAAAATCACGATTACGAATAAAATAATGCGATCTGTTTAAAATATATCTGGTGTAAAGGGTAATCCAAAAATGGTGTCAATACACACACCATGAATTATGGTTGAAAATTTTATACAGCAAACACCAAAACGGTGTTTATCTAAAAATATTTGATCTTTTCTATCTCTTCTACTGAGAAGTACTCTTTAGTAAAGAGTCTTTACACCAAGTATGATTTAATTTGACCAAAAACACATAATATTTAACACTGAAAATGAGTTAAATTTACCAGGTAAAATTTATTTTGATACTGTGTGAAAGTTAAATTTACACTATTTTAGTATTTGAATTTACACTGGACCAACGAACCATATTTAACACCATTTTGGTTTGTATCGATATGGACCATGCATGTTGTTAAAATGGTCATGAAATTGCGGCCCTTTTACATTGTTTTTTTTTATATATACTATAAGGTTAAGTGGAAGAACAGCAGCCATGTGGCAATTTGCTGAACTTCGCCTATTGTTACATTAATGTAACAATAAAGTTACTTAATATTATTATACTATATATTATAAATATATTTACTTCTGTATAAATTTGATTTAAGTTTTTTGTTGCGTGCGGATTTTTTATTTGCTGGGGGCCTAGTTACGCCACTGCCAGCGGTTCAAAAAATATACAAAGTAATATAGTCCATGTTACAAACAAAAGAAAAAACAATGTTATCCCTAAAAGGAGACGTTAATGCTATATTGTGACCATCGCTTCGATAAATGCTTTCATTTGTAACCTTCAAAATCGAATTATATTTTGCAGACTCTCCAAGTTACCACCTTCACAAAAAGCCCAAGTTGACTTTTATATAAAGACCTTTTCTTATTTTCTTTAATACTGAATGATTTTTTTTATTAATCCTTACCAGAATTTGATAAAGTAAAAATAACCTCGAATAAATGAAACGAACAAAATATGTTTTTATAGTCTAAAGTTTTAATGTATTGCTTTTAGCAGTTTTAAAAAGTTTTTTACGATAAAATATAAATTCTGCATTATATTGACCATTTTTCTTAGTTTTATAAAGCCTTAGGATAAATAATGTAAAAAATAATTGACATTTATATAAAGATTAACTTGGTAACTATATGATTTATGTTTAAAGTTTATTATATATTATAAAATTTATTCAGTATGTTACCAATAAAGATAATTTTAAAACATAATTGTATAAAAATGAATTTTTTTACTCCCACCTTAAAACAGTAATTTCCTCCAGAACTGTAATATTATATTGTGTATCATGTTTTATAAACGCCATTTTAGTTTCGAGTTTAATTAATCACGAGTGAAGCTTGCGAGCGAGTTGCATACTTTATTTACGACAAACACAAAACTGAATTTAAAGCCAATTTTATTTGTTAAAAATTTGACATCTGTCAAATTTCACCCGAATTTAACCTCATTTTTTTACAATTTAAAGTAAAGTCAATATTAGCCCGTGACAAAAAGCTTAAATGAACATTAACAAGCTGGGACTATGACGTGTTAGTTACGAGCTGATGTTAGCAGCAATGGCTTTCGGGCTTTTAGTCACGGGCTGAAGTAAGCTTTAAGTAAGTTGTCACACAATTGTCAAAATAAACTAAAACCATACTTAAATAAAACAATAATTTTATTATCTTAATACAAAAAATCAAAATGAGTAAATGGTTTCTTGACGCCAACCTTTTTTTTTTCGCTGGCAGTACCTAAAACATTCTCTTCACTTTTACTGTGGAAAACTGCTTCTATATCTGGTTTAAACTGTTCTTATTCCAAATTCAAGAGGGAAATTTGACAAACTGACACTTACATGCTAAAATCCGGTAAAAAAGATTCCTAATAGCAATTTTGGTTGCTTTTATTTATATAGATATTAAAATTTATTAGTAATAAATTATTTTTATAATAATATTTCTATAAACGTTTTTAGACATTAATTTTTATTAAAAACTTGCTCGCGAGCTTCGCTCATGCCTAAAAAAATATCGTGATTATAATGGCATTTATTAAACTTGATACATAATATACTCTTATGTTATATTTATAACTTAAACCAAACAATAAATTTACTAGTAGAATTTTTATAACAATGATTTAGTTAAAAAAAATAACCTGAAAATAATCAATGTCCTAAATAAAAACTTGAAAAATCAACTAAAATGTTCACAAAAAAGCTCATTATGGAGAAAATGTTTGCCCTAAAGTATATCGAAAATTAAAATGACGTAAAATTATTTTAAAGCGGCCTTTTAATTTAAAACTGTTAATAAAGATCTTTGATTAAAATTTTAAACAAAAAACCCACGTGGGGTCTAATAATAACCCCATTCTAAAACAGCAGCATTAATTGGTTTGAACAAAAATACCTACCTAAAGCTATAAAGATGAAAAGTTACTAGTTCAGAGGGAGCAAAATTGACCCATTCCTGCACTTGCTATTTAAACATAATATTAGTGAGTCTACAGTGTATATACAAATGTTATTATACATTACTTAATTATACCTGTATAACCCTTTTTATTAATAATTATATTTATAATTAATTTATATTGTTGACATTTCGAGTAGTACTAAAAATATACTCTATTTCCAAAACATTTGTATTTAAAACTAACTACATCAACTTTTCAACTGATTTTGTTTATTTTTTACAGGTATCATTTTTTTCTACAAGTCCAGAACTAAGCAACAAACAACGATTTGAATACTTTACAAGAACAATACCATCCGACCACTACCAAGTTAAGGCCATGGTGGATATAGTACGATTATTAGGATGGAGCTACGTATCTATAATTTACGAAGAATCCAACTACGGCATAAAGGTAAAAATATGCATAGTATTAGTTGCAATTCCCTTTAAACATACGGGTTTTATTTAAACAGTAGCTAATATTGTTAGTTAAGGTTTTAAATTAAAATATCATTAAACCTCACTGTGGATGTATTTTCTCATTACTTACTTAGTATAATTAAATTTGGTTAATAGCATTAACTTCTAATTTAGAATCAACGCCCTCTTTAATTATTAAACCTTATTTATCTAAAATAGAATTTAATTAATGGAAATAAGAGCTCTGAAGGGGTTCCTCATTTAATGCAGCTGCTAATAAGATAGCATCGACTTGTTCAAAAAATATGTTTGATAATTTTAATTAAGGATTAAGTTTATAAAATTATATCGATTTTTTTAGAAAAAATAATTTTGATATATATTTTTAAAGAAAAGTACATATTTAATTAATTATATTATAGTTTATTAATAATCAAGTTTGAAACACGCCATTGTACGAATTTTAGTTACCTACTAGTTTGCAATCGAAGTTTGCGAGCGAGTGTTTAAAGAAAAGTTTATAATATATATATACTATACTTTATCCATGACAAACAATATTATAATAAAAAATGTTTTAATTATAAATTAAAATATTTGTATACGCTAAAGGAGCATCGGGTTTTCGCAACGCGCGCGCCTTCTGGTGGTGTTCGATAGCATTGTGTAAATTCAAGAAATGTCAAAAATACATTTAAAGCATACGAGTTCATCATTTTTAAATAAATAAGTAGTTTTTTTACAAAAGAGAGGAAGAAAGAATTCATACTCGACAAATTTTGTTCAATAGTACAGCTAAATCGCGCACGTTATTTGTGTTTCGCATTGCAAGTAAAAACTATAAAAACTTTGGTTTAATACTCAATTTTGATTTATTCCTATATTATTGATTAAAAAACTCAACGCTTATATAGTTACGTTAGTGTCTGTATTTTATCTAAGTGATCATGGTAAATTGTAATTGTAAATAAAATGTTGATTCAATTCGGTACGTTTATTTGTTGGTGCAGAATTAACTAATAATAACTTTAACTAATAATTATATTTAAGTTTGGACATTTTTAAGAAATATAACAAAAAATAATTGTTGTACAAAAATCGAATAATAAAAAAAAATCCGACAACTGCATTTTAAACAACAAAATATTCCTATGAATTCATGGCAACAATATTATATTTAATACATAATATAATACCGGTTCTTGGTATTTAACTGTTGAGTGGAGACTCTTAATCAACGCTTTTAATAATCCTAATTTCTGTATGAATTTAGACGACTTATAATTTGTTGTATGATTTTTACTGAATTAAAATGTTTAGAACTTTCACGTAAATCCAGTGCCGGTTTAACAGGGGTTTTTTGGGGACTATAGCACCGGGCGGTAAATATTTTTGGGGCGGTACCGCGTACCGCCTATAATTAAAAAAAAATACTTAATCGTTAGAATTTAGAAAAAAAATTATACAACGGATACAAATGAGAAAAATGTAGCAGCTTCTCCATCAGAAAAACTTGATTTATTGGAAACGGAATAATTTGAACTTTTTGGATAGACGTTTTGCAAAGGGTTAATGAAACCAATAAAGCAGTCCAAAAACAAAATATGGATTTAAGCACAAATGCTCATCTTTTGTCATTTTTAGTTGAGAACTTTGATTTTTTACGTGATATCATTTTGATCATTACGAGGAAATTAACAGGAAACGAAAATTATGCTCAGAAGCGGATAATCATAAGAAAATTACAATTTGAAGAAAATAATTCAGAGGCAAGTTTAAGCAAAAAAGAAACAATGCGAACAATATGTTTTATTTTAATAATTGACAATCTATAATCCGAAATTATTTGTCGATATGATAGCTAGAAATCTGGCACAAACAAATTTGAATTTTTGTTTAATCTAAAAGCATAAATCTTCGTGGATGATTTGGATGAGTTTTTTCCTCAAAAATGTGTCCAACTCAAGAAACTGGTAACTTCCCTTTCGGAAATAAAAATAGAAACTCCATTGGAATTAGTATAAGTTTTATACGAAAATAAATTAATATCTTCATTTCCGAATATTAATAATTGTCTGCAATTTTTTTTTATAATGGTTTCAAATGCAAGTGGTGAACGATCTTTTTCTTCTCTAAAAAGGGTAAAGAACTACCTAAGAAATACAATTCCCCAAGAAAGATTTAACTCCTTAGCAATTCTGTCCATTTATCAAGACCTGCTAGATGAAATAAATGTAAAGTGTTATAAAACAATTTGCTACTATAAAGACTTGAAAACAACCTTTTAATTATTAGTATTAGGATTTCTCAATATTTATTTAAACCAAAGAATAATGTTTTATTTATTTATAACTTTTGATTAGTTTTTCTTAGTACTTAGTATTGTTTATATAAACCAAAGAATGTTTTATTTTTTAGTTAGTGCTTTTGATTAGTTTTTATAATTTGTTTATAAAGGCTTATTTTATATTTTATAGGATACTAAGTTTATTGTTAGATACCAGCCTAACCAACCTAATCTTCCACTTGTCGTGAGAAAGTAAGACTTAAAAATTTAAAAATCTTTTTAAAAAAGTAATATTTTAAAGCCCAATTGGGCGTTGTGTTTTTGCCAGAACCGGGCGGCGAACTAACTTAAACCGGCACTGCGTAAATCATTACTAAAATGTGTATTTGTTATATCTAATAGGTACAATTTTTATTTACAGGGACTGAATGCAATTTATTTCTTTATTCGGATTTCCCATGTTTATTGGAAAACCGGTAAAAATGTCCTCTCGAAAAACACCTAACACAACAAATGGTGCCATGTTTTTTTCTTAAAAACACTCGTTTGTTACATAAGCGTTTGACAGTTGCTTATTAAAAGCTGAATTCTGGTTACGTTGATAACGGCCACGTGGTGGCGCTACTAGCGATGCTTCTTTAGCGTATAGAGCGACATCTATGCAAAAATATAGTAGACAAAATTGGTGATAGAAATCTGTTTTGCCGGCTTTTAAAATATCAGTGTCAAATTTTTCTTTTGGACTGACAACCGTTTAATCCTATATAGAATCAGTTTTTCACAGTGAAAGGTTTTATTATTTTGCGATTATAAGACATTTGACAACTGCTTACTAACTAAAAGAAAAAATCGTTTATCAAATCAACTAAACCTTTTAACATTTCTATCACAATTTTATGCTATCCCCTGACCTTAAATTAACGTTTAAAAATCAAGTGGTGTCGCCATAGAAAAATCGCACTTTCAGTTCTCGAGGGTCGCTTTGATGGACGTGACCTAAACGTCACGTTACGTTTCGTCGAAAACAAAAGATTGCGACCTATAAAATTTAATTATGCCAGTTCAGGGGAAGTTTATTGGCAACGGACCGCTAAAAAAATCCCTTACAAAAAATATGTATGTGTAGGATGAACTTAAATAAAAATGATATTTTTTTAATAAATATTCAATATCCTTTATTATTAATTTTTATTTAAGTGCTTTTTTATACAAATATATGAATATTGGGTTTTATAATTTATTTAAAGAAATTTCTGCTATCGTAAAAATAAAATGGTTTTATTTGTCAATTAATGAAATACATTTTATGTTTTTACAAAATATTTAAAATAATTTATTTAAATTAAAACAAATGATATCAATTTATGTTGATTAGTTTTGTAAATTGGCAATAATAAATTTTATTTAAAACTTGTTTTACCAGGCTAGGTCAATATGTCCTTAAAGTGGTAAACAAATAACATATTTTAATAGTTTTGTATATTTTTATACAGGGTGTCCTATTTGCCACCCCGAAGGTTAAAGGTGAATTCCTCTTAAAATTTCAAGGCAAATTTTCTTTACCAGTTTTTCGAATTTGAAAAATAGCATTTAAAAATATATTACATTTTTATACAATTCACAATTTATAGATTTAAAATAAACTGCTCTCTTAAAATGAATTAGTAAAAAATAACTAATAATAATTAGTCAAATTCTACTAAATGAAATTAGTTAAATTGGTAAATTTAAATTTAAAAAAGTATTGACCCAGCCAGAGTTTGAACTCGGCCTGTCTCTTGTCCAGCAGATGTCAAACACTTGCTCTACACAGTAAAAATATTATTTTTAATTTTAACCAAATATTAACCAGATTTTATGTTAATGCAGGTCCACATAACTTTTTGTTAAGTATACAACCAACTGTAATCTGTTAACTAATTGAATAAATAGTTTGTAATTATATTATAATTACAAACTATTTATTCAATTAACAGATTACAGTTGGTTGTAAACTTTACATAAAGTTATGTAGACCTGGATTAACATAAAATGTGGTTAATATATGGTTAAAATTAACAAATATTTTTTTACTGTGTAGGTACAATTATTATAGATACGATTTTTATGTATTATTTAACCCTGTAATAGCCCAATCACTTTGAAAGAATTAAAAAAATGTACAAGGTAAAACTTAAGTTAAGTCCCCCCGCGTATTAGATGAAGAAATTTATGTTTTTCCTCAATGTCAGCAATCTTTAATTTCAAAAAAGACCGTATTTTTACAAACCTTTTTGTAGACCCAGTAACAAAAGTATTTGTTGAAATTTTGAAACTTAAATGAAAATAATTTTAATAATAAATGTTTATTAATCAATTACCCAAACAAATTAACACATTACATAAATGAACACAAAAATATCATATACACAATTAAATAACATACCATTCTGAAATCATCAAATTATAAGGAATTTGGTACAATATAATTATCAGCACCACTACAACACTTAATGATGTATTTCATAACTTTAACCCACTTCACTGTATTTCAGTCAGAAAACTAGTGATGGCATCTTTTTTCCGATACTCTGGACTTGTTTAATAGGTATAAGGAATCCGAATAACAATAATAACATATTTCTGATAATATATTATAAACATTCTGGACAGTTATTACGAACGCGTTACGAATTAGAATAAAGTAAGCAGAAACATAAGTTGCA